GTTTCCTCAGGCCTTGATCAGTCCTTAAGTGGTAGTAAAACAGGAGCTATCACTTGTCAATAGGCACCAATAACTCTACCTCCTAATTTCAGTAGGCTGTTGGATGTAGCTGTTGGATGGAATCTTATAATCTCTCTAAAACAGTACTTGCATATTAAGGCCACTGTGATGATTAAGAAATTGCAATTAAGAAATGTCTGCTGTGTAAGGAGAAGCTGAGAGAGTTTGGGCTGTTTAGCATGGGGAAGAGAATGCTCGGGGGATCATATCGATATGTACAAATTCCTTATCAGGAGGGAGTAAAGAGGTAAAGAAGCAGAAATAGATTCCTCTTAGTGGTATCCAAAGACAGAACAAGATGATATGGACACAAACTAAAACCCAGGAAATTTTCTTTAAACATCAGAAAAAAACTTTTTTACTCTGAGGATGGCCAAATAGCAGAATAGGTTGCCTAGAGGTGTCAAGGAGTGTCCATCCTGGAGATACCCAAAACCCACGTGAATAGACTCCTGAGCTCAAGGTGACACTGCTGGGAGTGGGAGGGTTTACATTGGACAGTTCCCAGAGCTTCCTTCCAATCTCAGCTATTCTGAGTTGTGGTTCTGGGATCCAGTGTTAGTTTTTCCATGCTGTTGGGCCTGGAGAAGCATGCATGAAGTATGAGGTTCTATTATTCCTGATGTGCACAAAGTAAGTGATATATTGTCATGTATCAGTATGACAATACAGAATACTTTTCTGTTTTCACAAGCTTAATTCTAACCCTACAAAGCTACACCCATGCAAGATTATGTGCAAACCACTCTTCAGGGTTACACATATCTTATAAGTGCTGTGCCTTTCTATCACACACATTACTGGACATTTAAAAGATTCATCTAATAGTGGACTCTAACTCTGTCTGCTTAGCCTGCAAGGGTGAGCTCTCTTTTATGTGTAAAGAGCTCAATTACAATAATATTTAGTCAGCTTTGCAAGCAGTAGGCAGGTGGTCTTCATGTTGAGTCCAGCTTTGTGATTTAAGCTGTGAGAAGTACCATTATCCTTAATGAGTAACTGAGTGTCTTGAAGCTGGAGTTCCTGCTCCTGTGTAATTCCAATAATTAAGACACTGAGATTATGCAAAGTACTATTTATTAATGCTAACATTTTAAAGGAAGAGAGAATAGTATAGATAAACTTACATTCCTTCAGATGTTGGGAACTCTGATTTGTGCTGCAGCAAGCAAGCATCCAGTGTGGGTGCAACACACTGTGAAGACCCTGTCTGTGGAAGGGGTGCCCCATTTTAGTCATTTGAATGATTTTTATTTTTTCCTGAGAAAATAATTCCATTCAGTATTTCTATTATCCAATAGAAAGAATGTTCCTGTGAGGGCTTCTAGCTGCACTTGTAGGTATAGGCAAGAAGTCACAGTGGCATCATTTCAGTTAGCTAGTGGAATCTGCCCACAAGCCCTCTGTTACATTTATCTGGCTGTCTTTACTCTGCAGCCAAGGGACATGGAGTGGGTCTGTGCCCCGGGCAGGAGCGACCGGCCCTGTCGTGGTGGCGATGTGCCCCTAGATGGCAGCGATCGCTGCTCTTTTTCAGGACGGACCCTCTGCAGTTGCTGTATTAGTTCTGACACAGACGGGCCTGTTGCTCAGTGAGGCCTTACCTTCAACTGAAAAGGCAGAAAAAAATTACTGGCTGGTCTCTCTTTCTCATCTAAGAAAATTTAAAGGAAACATGATTATATTAGGACAACTCAATTATTTATACCTGACAATGCTCTTGTAGACAGTAACACCCATTTTGTCAGGTGTGGGTATTTTCAGGTATCTTACCCATTGCAGATGGGGTACTAGAGTACACAGAGACATCAGCATGAAGCAGTTCTGGGTCCATGGAACTCAATGAAAATGTTAATAGAAAAATGTGGACATTTGTTTTCCCCTACACACATGATTTCGTAACCTTACAGCTATGCAGTGGTTGTTCTTGCTGTACTTGCTTTTAAATTGAGATAAAATGGTAGCTAGAAAAAAGCTTAACAGCAGACTCAGTGCTGGTAAAACAGGTACTTCTCCAAAATATGGTTACAAGTTGTGCTGTTCTGTTGGCAGAGCTTCTGTCTGAACACAGAGTGTGACTGACAAGGTTTTGTGCTACAGTATGAATCTGAGGACTAGCATATGTTTATTTCTTTGGTGTGCTTGTTATGGTAGGCACTGTCTTCAAAAAACGTGCTCTTTTTGTTCACATTTGCACTGCAGTTTTTCCTGATTGGCAACCAGGTCTTAGAGCACAAAGGGTGATCTCAATACCACTTCTCTGAAGTTAGAAGGGTGACCATTGGCACAGACTGAGGTTCTCTGCCATAACACATCTCTTGCACATTAGTGTGTGCAAATTCCAGTCAGAGCACTTTATGTGCTAAATAATATCTCATCAGAAATCATCCAGAGCAGTATGATCCTCTTGTCTGACTGAGGAAAGATAGCTTTGTGTGTAGGCAAAGAATGAGAGATTTTATCCTCTGTGTTTAGTTCCCAAGTTTTCCAAAACTCTGTAAACCTTGGACAAATCACCAACCACTGCCTCACTTACCTATGAATGAAATGAGACAGGAGATTTTCCTTTCTTTTCAGTGTATCCTGACTTGTCAACTAGTGTGAGCTCTGTAAAGAGTGGGTTATCTTTTGTTCCAAATGAATGCATATCAGTGAGCCTGGATCTCCAGGGAGTTGTGCATGAATAAAGAACACAGAGATGGGACACTCAGTTGTGCTGTGTGTGGGGGAAATGCTTATCAGCTGCTGGATGTGGCCATATTCACTATACATCATCACAAAATCTGCCTTGGGAGGAAGTTTACAGACAAGCCCTCATGAATAAAATATTTTCCCTAGAGCTCGAATTGGTTAATAGTTAGGTATTGCAGCTGCTTTTTTATAAAAAGAAATTGAAATTAAGCAGATTGTTTTAATAAATCTTTTTAATATCTCTGTAAAACAGGAAAAACTTGTGTCAAACAGCAAGCACATCTGTCAAACAGCTGCAAAGATGATGTACAAATAATGATCTTTGAGGATTGTCTTCTAAGTCCAGAATACTTGTTCTAAGCTGCAGAAAAAAACCACCTTTGCGTAAAATACAGGAATATTTTTACTAGGAAGCTTATTAAATTATTGTGGTACAAAAGATGAATTGTGTATTCATTACAGTGTAATGCATTGATTGCCCAGTACATGTGAAGTAATTAAAGTGAAAGGCCAAATACCAAATGAAGGTAAAAAAGTTATGAGAAAAAAATTGGCTGTTGATATTTGACAAAATTGTATGAACAGACCTTTGTATGCAACATAAAGATAATAAATGCAGAATACATGGAGAATAATGCTCTGAGGAAGGACCAAATTCAATGAATTTAAGACAAAACATTGAGTTCTTTATATGTTTATATTAATATAAATCCAGGGTTATTCCTGGATTTATTTAGCATTGCTCTGGAACTTAATTAATAAGTTTGAAATTAGCATCTGGCTCACATAATTAATTGCATTTCTATATTGGAGACTGCCTTCAGACTATTGGAGAGCAGAAAGAAAAAATGGGCCTTGTCCTTAATTATAATTGTATTACAGTGGCTTTTTCTAAAAGCCATACTTTAAATTTTTATTTAATACCCCACTCTTTCTGAATTATAAACCTCTAATTTGTAATAGGTAATAAAATAAATAGTTATTTTATTTTCTTGCTTCAGCTGCAGTTTTATACCCAATGCCTCCTAATCTTTTCTCTTTTGCAGAAACCAAGTTTTAAAAATATATACAATTTAGTTAGATTGTTTCAGTTTCCTATGTTTACAAGGAATGCATATCTAATAATATGAATTCCTTGTAAATATATCTAATAATGCATATATTCTAATGCATATCTAATCACTTCCATATGTCACCTTCTAGATAAGGACTTAGAAGTACAACAAATGGAAAAAAAATACAATCTTACACCTTGAACAGCAGATCTCTGTTCAAATCCACCCACACAAACAGAAACACTTTTTACAAGAAATATAAACTGTACAGAGAGTTCTTTAATTTAAAGATCTGATTCAGCCCCAACTGAAACCAGCAGGACATCCCATATTTCAGATCCTAGGTAAGAATGAGAAGATAGTTAATCAATGTAAAGGATTAGGGAAAGATGAAATGTTTGTGTGTACCACAACGCACACACAGTTGTTTCACTGGGCTTAGTATTGCATTTCTTTTTCTATGGATGTAGAATGAAAATATTGATGCTATCTACACCTGTTCATCCTGCTGGAAAAAATTAATATCCCATCCAATTATTTTTTTATTTTTATTTTTAATATTAGAATGCTCTTCCTTTGAAGAGGACCAGGATTTAAAGGCATCCTATTTTTTATGTCAATTTCTTGATTTAAGATGTCTGGTGATAGTGGTATAAACTCATGGGCTGGAAATGGTTTTACATTGTTCAAGCCACCAAAGGTCACCAAACCGAGTCCTTCCATGCAAAAGCATAACTGGTGGGGTAAACACTGATTTGCAGTCCAGAAGCAAACAGTGCACAACAATAGATGAGGGACAACTAATCTTCCCCTAACACCAACAGAATCCTAGATCTTGACAGTTGCCCTCTGGATAGTAAAGCTAATTCCAAAGGCTGCTACATCCTTGCTACAGTCCCAACACATATTCCTAACAATGAATATGTTATTACACAGAATGCAAAAATTGTCCATAGCAGTTTGACACATCAGTGTTGCAGTGCTGGCTGGCTGTTTCTTCATACTTTGAGCCAAGAAATAAATGACTTGTGCAGGACACGTTAAGCAAGGTTTTAAAATTACTTTGTAATCTAAAAAAAGCATATAATATAACACTTGTCTGTGCTGGCATGACATCTCTTTAAAGTAGTTGCTGAGCAGTCCCTGGAGTCCAGTGGAATAGCAACAGGAGGAGTCATATTGTAGGAATCATACTCAGTAGGAATCCATTGCTCTCAGGATCTGAAGGACTTCCAGCACAACTTCATAACAGAATAAATACTCATCCTGTGTGTGGAGACACCAGTGTGAAACACCTGCTTACATTCAACATAAATTCTAGACAAAGAAGGATGGACTAGCAGAAGTTACATGTTTAAATGTTATATGTTTAAAATATCCCATCTATGTCATATGGATGCAAAACGTACATATTTCAGAGAATCCTTATTCTTTTTGTTCTGGTAAAAGTACAGGAACTCTGTAGTTTAAGCGTGTACTCAACTCTCATGTAGGACAGTGAAGGTTATATATTGCTTAATTTTAGTCCCATGCTCAATCATTACCCTGAAGAAAAATCTATCAAAGCCTGTGCTAAAATATTTGCCTATAGGAAGAACTTTAGTCTTCTCTTGTTTTTATTCTCGCCAGCTGTTTTCTCTAAGGTGAGTTAGCAGCATCTTTTCTTTTTTCTGTGTGAAAAATCTTTTCAGGAGTGGGTTTAGCTCAGGATAGAAGGGTTTATTTGGTGATGATAACTCATCAATAGCAAGAATTGAACTAAAGGGTATAATTTTGCAGGGTAGGGTTTATAGTAAATCCCTGTTTCTGTGATACTTGCTTTTCTTCTTGCTTTAGAAAAAGAAAGGGGGCTGTGTTGTATTTGTCTTATATTGCTGTTTTACTTTTATTTCACTTAATCAGTAAGGGACAGACTTTCATATTTAAAACTAGACACCCCTTGCCTAGAGGGCTCTTATTTTCCTCAAATGAGAGCACTAAATTGCTATTTTAAGCCCTAGCTTTATCATAGCACATGGACCTGTACCACAGATTGAGGCTTTTTAAAAAACATAATGATCTAGTTGCATATTTAGAACTTACCTTAGTTTGGATCATTCCAAAACGCTGATCTCGCAAATCTCTCACTATCTGCTTGATGTTGAACTGTCAGAAGAGAATTGTTTTTACTTTGGTTGACGTGCAAGTTAGAAAGAAAGATTTAAGCATATTCAGATGGGGAAGCTGTGACAGCTCTTTTAGAAACAGTATATTTGTAGTTACGATCTTTGTTGTTTAAAACAATGAAAGCTGGGTTTATTCCGTTTTGTTTGGGTGAATTCTTAGAGGATTTATTCTGTTCTAAGATGTTCCCACCATGCCACTGACATCCATACCAAGTTTGTAATACTTAACAATGACCTGTTTGATACTTACACATAAATCTTTTTCTATATGGCTGAGAAGAATTTCAACACACAGCAAAACTCCACTTCTTCCAATGCCAGTGCTGCAGTGAGCAATAATAGGTCCTCTCCTGTGAGCTTTTCTCATGTAACAAATAAATTTTACGAGCTGCTCAGCCAGTTTGGAAGTATTGTGGTCTGGCCAAGTGGTAAATTGCAAATGACTTATAATGCGCTTTTCTTCTGTCTGGAAGAGAGAGACCAGAAAGGTTAAGAATTATCAGTCCCAAAACCAATTTTCAAGGAATTCCACTAAAAATTTTCCCACAGCCTCATTCTTAAAATTGTTTATTTACTCTACAGTTCTTTAGCTTTTCATACTTGACTCTATTAATGTTTCTTTAGATTTCAAGAAATGCACTCAGGAACACAGGCCTAGGAAATTTACTTCATGTGACTTTGATGAGACGCTGAAGTTATTCAGTTGCCTTGAAAGAATGTAGTTATGTCATTTATTGGTAATATTAATTAAATTTTCCTGGGTCAACGCTTCTTGTTGCCAGTCCACAAAGCCACGTTAAAATCTGAATGCTAACTACCTGGATTTTTACCATCAGAAGAATTTGAATGTAAATATGGATTTCTGCTGAAGTAGACCTGTGGCTTTCTGTAGTAGTTTGCTACTGATTCAGTACAAACATAGCAAACTTAGCACGTTCATTGAAACAATCACATATGGTGTTCCATCTTGCCATTTTAAGAGTCTTTCAGGAAGACTCCTATCAAATGCTTTGCAATGCTTCACACTCAGTGACATAAGGTGCATTTCCTCAAATTGTTATCTTGATGGAAAAGGCACCAAGTTTAGTCTGGCACAGATGTTTTAATTATGCCACTAAATATGTCCTGCAGAAATTTTTGCAAAGCTTTACTTAATATTGAGGCAAGAATGATGGACGTATACGTGCCCTGTTTTCTGTGTTCTTCCACCTGGATCCTGTATTTGTTAGGTTTCTAAAAGTTGCTGCTAGATTTGTAGTTTCATGTGTGTTTGTGTCTTTTCATGAACAAAAAAAGTATCATTTGTCCTAAATTCTAGGATGAAAGCCGCCTTCTCCCCCTCTTTCCATTCAATCACCATTACCAAATATGAATCCACTCTGGTGGAGATGTGATTTGATGAGAACAGTAAACAATTCTGCAAAACACTGAACAAACCAGTTCTGTGACTATTAGAGGTCTCATTTTTGGAAGTTCTTGTCCAAATGTATGTAATATTATATCCATTGCTTATGCAATGAGCAAGAAGAAAGCACCTCATTAATCTTAATTTCATGCCTGTTATTCAGATTTTTACATCCCCAAAAAATACTAGGCATATATTATAGAAGAAGCAGACAATACTACTTGTATCTACTCACATAAACTGTGTAATCAGTTTCATCATATATGAAAGTATTAAATCAACTTACCTGCTTGTTGATAATTTCTATTTTTCTAATTATGAAGTATTCCAGAGTCTGGTAATTGTGTAGCCTGAGATAGAAATTAGCCAGTTCTTTAGAGTTATAGGGAGATTCAGGCCAGTATCGATGGCATTTGACTTGCCCTAGCTCCACTTCTTTTGTCATCATGGCAATCACATCTGATTCACTCTCCCAGACCATTTGCCAGAAATCAGCCATAGTGGATGGAAGAGGCCCTTGGGTTATAATATAAAAGTGTTCCTCTTCTCCAACATTCATTCTAATGTAGCTTGCATTAATGTAGCCATTCTTTTCTCCCAGAGGAACTCGTGTCTTATCATCTGTACAGAAACAGAAAGAAGCTATTTCAGCTGTGGATCTGGAACAAGAGTCCTACCCTCTCCAGCACTCAGGATGTAGGAAACCTCAGTCTCTCCAGAAAAGTATCCCTCTGGATTTTAGAACACAGTTGACTAGCAGCACTAATATTAACCAGTGAAAGTAGGAATTCTCACAGATAAATTGTATGGTTCATTGCAGCTTCGTTTCTCCTGAGGTACTTGTGTAACACTGTGAAAAGCCTTCTAAAAAGCTTACTATAGAATTGTTTGCCAGTGTTCCAACATAGAGTAAGTACCCAGTGCTGCTTCTCATGTATTGCATAGGAATGTTGTCACTGGATATTGGTGTTACAAACGAGAAGAACCTCTAAGAATATACACACTGCATCACTGAATATAGAGATGCTACACATTTTTGCATATTTTTGCATGTGTTGTCCTTTTGCTGCAGTCTAGGAAGACATCAAGGGTCCAGAAAATTTTTTTGTGTTCCTCTGATGACTTTGTTCACCAAATGTGTATTCTCATTTCTGTGCATACTTACATGGAAGGATATCTCGGTATCTGTTTTTATTCTGGTTTTCTGGTGCTTTGCCAGTTCTGCAGTCATCTATTGGCTTCACATGTTCTAAAGCCTAGATCAAAAAGAAATAGTCAATCTATATTGTTCACATCCTCAACAGATAGCTTTTACAGTGTCAGTGTGAACAAACTTTACTGCTGTATATAACCCAAGGCTGGAAAATAGACTTCTTACAGAAGAGAATCAGTACATCATTCTCTAAACTTCTAGGCAAAAAATTCAATTTGCTTTGTATTTTCTCTTCCCTGCACAATATATCTGCATTTTCAAGTGATATTTCCAACCCTCATCCTCAGATCCTATCATTACAAGTCCCTTTTGTATATTGCTGTATTATAGATGTTTGGAATACTGTGTTGGCCAAATGTCAGCATTTATGATTGATAACACAAGCACTAACTATTGCACTATGAACAGTGCAAAAATGACTCAATACTTTTCAGTGATGGAGTAAGTGATAAATACAGGGAAAGCACCAATGATATTAAGTGCAAATCATACAGTTATTAAGAACTTCACAGCAAATTTTGGGGAATTGAATGCAGGGTAGTCAGAAGCAGGAATGTGCAAGTTCATTTCATTATATTTTTGTGTTACCTCGATGTTTTTGTTATTCTTCTACCTATTTTCTGTGTGTTGCACAATGCTCAATCATCACATTCTGCCACTATATAAGAACTGAAATACATGACAGTATGTATGTCATAACATATGACAGTTCTTGAACACTTGCATCAGTTCCTATGGCTTTTACTCAGATAAAATATCCACTGCCTTTGGTAACCAGCACTTTACTTATTAGATCTTTACGTTTTCTGTGCAGATGTGGGACTGAGCTCATAGTAAGCTACACCTACATCAGTAATGGAATGTAATGAATGAAAATTAATACATGCCCTTGAGCCTTTAGGGAATGTCAGCAAATCCTACACACTTGAGCCTGTGGGATTTTGTACCCAGAAAGTCAGAGATATAAAGGCAAGTGAAAGAAACTGATAACATTGCAATTACTATGGAAAAGTGGCAGCAATCCATTGCACTGGTAATGAGCATGTCCTTTAAAGGAAAATCTGGTACTATCTTGAAGAATTATGAAATAATCTGTTCTTTGGGAATTTGATGATAACTTCATACTCTGTTTATGTTCTGAAACAAGAGATTTTACAAGCCTTCCTAATTTTACATTTTTTTCATGATTTATATGCAATCAGATGTAATTAGGTGATTTCATTTTCTGTGGAGGTACATTACTTTTTCTTTGTAATTTCATTACAAAGTTCCTGATCATAACAGCATCTTGTTACAATGAGTTCCATGGATAACTGGGGTGTTCCATTGAGTGGAACATTTTCCTTTCAACTGTTTCTACTTCAGTGAATCCTTAGCAGCAGGGATTTCTTGCTTAGGTGCAGCCCCTAGGATAGTTTTTAGGTAGATGTTCAGCAGAGCTGAGGGGGTAATAAGAAGAAGTCAGTCTAGGAAAAAGTGATTCCTAATCTACATTGTGAATGTTACATTTTTTATTTTCCTTCTACATGGGCAGCATCTTTGAACAGCGAACATAGTAAGACTGATATGCATGGAAAGAGAGATGCAAACACTGTACTACCACCCAAACAGCAGAGCAGAAACCCCATTTTGGCAGGAATAATTGTCAGAGAAAAAGGATGCAGTAAAGATATACAAACTGAACTCCCATACAGTATGCACTGTATGGAAAGCCACTTTCTTAGCTTTGCTGAACTTTTAAGAAGTGATCAAAGTTTACCATAAACTCCTTTAGCACCTCTTGATTCTCAATCTGCAGCTGAAGTCCTTGAATAAGACCTGTTATGCCAGTCCTTGGATCCTCTCCACTCTGTGATGGTTTCAAGTTAATTAACTGAGTCAGTTCATCTCCATAAGCAAAGGTTCTGTCTACGTATCAACAAAAAAAAAAAAAAACAAACAAAACCTCAAAACACAATAACAAAAAAGCAAGAAGTTTTTAATTATTATTGTTCATAGTGCAGAATCTTGGCTTTAAAAACTAGGGAGCTGCAGTATGTATATATATTTTGCTGCTTATATTGTGGAAGAGAAATATGAGAAAATGGAAGAAAATATTTTCAACTTATGTTCACAGCAGAAAGAAGAATAAGTCAACATCATGGGTACAACCAGCACCACATTTCATGTTATTTGGAAGGAGATCCAACTACTGCAAGTTATTTCCTCACACAGTTTCTAAATACAGTCTGTTCTAAATTAACTATTCTAGCAGAATTGGAGACTTTAATGCTAGTTTATACTGGTATGGGAGACTGGCCACATCTTTACAGAGAATTGTTTTCACGTTTCCAACACTTCCATGCCAATTAGTATTGCCACACTCCACTGCTAGGAATAATCACAGCAAATTCTTCCTTCCTAAAGTAAGCAAATATATTTTTCTTCTCATCTTAACTCATACTGCCCTTCAAGAGCAATATATGAACTATCTTTGATGCACCTAAGTCAGGATTCAGTTTTACTACTTTGCTCATTCTGAAATGTGTGTTCTGGTCCAGTACTTGACAGATTAGGAAAATGGATAAACAGTGCATCTTCAGAAATATCACTACTCTACTGGAGTGATAGAGTAACTTTTGTTCCTGTGTTGAGTAAAAGCAGTAGCTTGTTATGTAAAAAATAATGGTTTGAGGCAGAGGAATTATGGTATTTGGTTTTTTTAGTCATAGGCTACTGTCTGCAGAGGATAACATACCATCTGTCTCAAAGAAAAGCTGATGATGTGTTCCAGGGGTTTGTTGCAGGATGAAGACAAGAAGCAATGTTCTGCTCTCTTCCTGTAAGGTATCATCACTACTCTGAATTAATTTCTGTTACAATAGAGTTGTGCTTGCTATGTTTGTGTCTGGGCTACAACTTGCCCCTTCTTTGCCTGAGCTTTTAAGATATTTTCTGTCTGCATTCCAGTCTCTAACCCTCGAAGAGGCTCCTATTATTGAGTTGAGGGTGCCAGTGAAGACAGATCCCCACTCCAGACAGAGCATACTATTTCCCATACACCTCTTCTTCCAGATCAAGGGGAATTAAAAAAACCCAAACTCTGAGCAGCTAGTAGAGGATAGATTGTTTGTGATTTTCTGTTTGTTGGCCAGCAAAGCTTGGTAGTGTGAGAGAGTTACCTGTGTTTTACTTCAAATGAGAGCCATCAGCAACTCATTGCTTCCACCAGGTGAGAAGAAGCAAGGAGAGAGAGAGAAATCTGAATTTCACAGAATCTCTGAGATACTACAGCATCCTCAATATGATTCTTTCACAAATTATTCTCATTTGGAGCAGAAGGAGCTTAATTTTCATAAAGGAACAATTAGGCAGATTCTTCTTGTAAACTCTTCTGGGTGTCAGAGGGGCTTTGGCACCTGAGTTGTGAAAGTGCTTCAGTACATGCTTAAGCACATCAGTTCTAGAGATTTTAATGAAATTGTCATGGGGGGTGAAATTCAGTGATTCTGGGGAAAAAGTCTTGAGAGACAATTTGACCCTTTGTTCTGCATTTTTAAGTGTTTATTTACTTATTTTGCAAAGTTGTATGGGAACAGTAAGGAAGAGAGGAGAGACCTCATGATGTATGTCTCCTTTGAGAGTTACAAAAGTTTGGATGGCCTATCTATGCATCAGTAGTAAAAATTGTGTCTTGAGTGCTCTGGTCCTTTAGACTGAAAGAGCAAATTCTTAGCTTGTGTACAAGGGACTAGTGTTGTTGTCAATGTAGATATATGGAGATGCTGGGCTATACTGTTGAAGAAACAAGAGAAGTTTTTGCATGATTACTTCTAGGTAGAACAGGAATCCTCTGGGGCATAACATCATCTTCATTGTTCCAGCTGCCTGATTCACACTGTTGATTTTCTTTTCTGCAGCTTTCACATTCTGCACATTTCTGTGACCTGCAAAACAATGTCAGTTGAAGTAGCAGAAGCTTTGATAATCTGAACCATACAAAGATTTTGTGTTTAATCTATTTGTGCTTACTTTTAACTTTATTGAGCAACTATTTACAAGAATTAGTCAGAACTCTGAAGATCATAAGTTCAAGGAGTTGTAGTAGCATTTTATCTGGATTATTGTTTACAAATATAGCTACTGAAAAGAACTATTTTCGGTATGTGATTGTGGTTGGTTTTTTCAGAGGTTAGAACATACTCTGAATAAAAAGCAGCTCAAAAATGACTGGAAGTAAGGTTTCTCACAGCTAGGAACCATTTTCATGTAGGATATTTTTCAATTGTTAGCCGTTACACCTGTAAGCTTCAATTCTCTTGTCTTAGTACTTCTGTGGAAGCTGTTCAGCAGCTCTTCCTCAAGGTGGAGCTGCATTCCAACAGACCCGTGTTCTGTCGCTTTCATACCACACTAGGACAGAACTGGAAATATACAAATAATTTATCCATACTATTTATTTTAATAGTTTTACTTCATTTGAAAGACTTACCTGTCTGAAACGGTACTGATGAGGTCCTTATAGTCTTGTCCAGCCAGCTGACCTTGCAGAGGAGATTTGTCTGTTCTTTCTGCATCCTGCATGTTTCAAATAAGAAAAAGCTGTGAAAAATCAGTACACAGAAACATCAAGAATGTAGTTACTTTCATCAACACTCTTATTTCTGACAGAAATGTGTCCTTTGCTTAAGAAGGAAAGGGAAAATAAAATAGTTTCCACTTTCAGACAAAAGTGTGTATTGCAGTAACTAGTTGGAGTAAAAAGCCTTATCCGCTGCATTTGTAAGTTTCTGAGCAATAGAACAATACAGTCTAGAGACACCTCTACATCTCAGCATGCATGACTGACTTTGAAACGTTTGTTATATCCTCTCTGATCTGAGAAAGAAAATGCAATCACAGGAATCATGAGTCACATTCTTCCTCTCCCAATTCTTGGCAGCAGGAAGCACCAGCATCTGAGATGGAACTGTTGGTAATAATTTCCTTTTTTATCTTAGACACAACAATGCCAATGGTAGGAGCAGGGTGCAGCTGCTCTGCTGAAGAAGCACTCAACTAATAGAGAAGGCAGAACCTTGATGATCCTCCATATGCAATAGAAGCAATGGTACAGGTGGCTGTTTATCCATCCTAAAGAGTAATAACTAGGTCCTGCATTTAAATAATAATGCAGGATATCTGCTATTAGTATATGAAAGTAGCTTCTTCTCAGCTGTAACACTTGATAAACAATTATTTAAATTTTAGTTCAAATTACCATTTTTCTTTTTCTGGTTCAATTACATTACTTGAATCGGGGTTTGGGTTTTTCATTTGTTTTCTGGAGGATAAGAAGACCTAATTTTCTTGCACTTACTAAGGAGTTTTACAGTTTTAAATATATAAATAATAGATGCTCTGAAATTTAATGTGGAATGTCTTGCAGGACTTACTAAAATTCAAAATCATAGCCATGTTTGAAGAAATTTAGATGCATTTGAATTTTGAATAGTAGGGGAGATAGCTGGATAGAAATCTTTTAATGTACATGGTTTAGAAATACTGAAAGGATGGTAAAATTAATAAATTATTCATTTCAGTATTATAAAGAATCAGAACAAGACTTGCATATGCAGCCTTTCTTCCCTCCACCCTTTTAGCATATGTATTCTACTTATCATATGCTCTTGTCTCAGTGGAATCCTGACTCACTCAAATGTCAGCAGCTCCAGTCATGGCAGCACACTTCCCTCACATGAAACATTTTTTCCATTAAGAAGGTGTGGTTCTTGCCCACATTGCAGCAAACTCATGTAAACAAACATGAGTACATTGCCTCATAACTTCTGAAAACTTCTCTGATTTTTACCTTTTTGCACATTTGATTGGAGCCTTCTTGCTTGAAACTGAAAACAGGCTGAGCTTGCAGGCATTCCCCACCACTTGCTGAATACCAGAAAGCAAACAAAAAAAATCAAATACATGAAAATATTGGTCCATTTCTTCTGTGCTGCTTAGACCAAAGGACTTTGACCACAGATGGGGCACTGAGATACAGTGTCTTAAACTGGCATGGAATCTCCCTCTTGTGAATGCCTGGGAGAGTTAATAGAGCACAAATGCCATATGTCACCACCAAAGAAGCCAGCATAATTCAGACTGCCAGAAGATACACTGAAGTAAAGCCCTGTATCAACAGCAGCTATAAAAAACCATGAAACAATTTAAATCTGCTCTCCCTAACCCAGCTCATTCCTTCACAGTGCTAAGGGAAAAATACCATAAATTAACTTTGCTGCCAGTACTTCTATAATAGCATTGTGTTTTTCAGGAAAACAGTTTAAACTTCCCAGAAACAATGTAATTCATTGATGTCATGTAAGAAGAAAATGGCAATGACAGTGTCCTGACCATGAATACTTGAAACAAAGCCTTCAATAACCAGCAGGCCAGAAGGAGGAATTCTATATCCTTCCCACTTAGGTTTCTCCACATTATAGGAAATGTTTCAGTATTCAAAGAAATAGAAAGTTGAGGACTATAACTATGTAATCTATTGGTAGTTTTATATCCTTGCTTCCATTCCCAGCTTTAATTAGTAATTAATTTTTGAGTATTCAGTAGAGCAGAGCATAGAGCACAAAGTTCTTCCATAGAGTTAGTCATGCCTGTAAGTACTGCCCTTTGCAAGATGGGTGTGCTCTCAAATGAATAACAATAGACCTGGGAGCAGAGGCTTCTGGGTTTGAGCATGAACACCACAGAAGAGAGAGGATCTGTCTGCCAGACAGAACAGGAGGTGTAGTGCTTCTAGAAGATAAGTAGGAGTGATGGGATGTGAAG